ATTGTGATGGGTACTTTTCCACCCACCAAAAAGCTCAGAAACTTTCTAGAAAGAAAAGTTCTAAAACTTTAAAATTGACTATAAAATACTCAGAAATTTTGCAGAATAAATGTCAGGTTTTTTTCCTGAAACTAAAAAAAAAACTCCATGTTTTTTCTAGAAAATGTAATAAAAAATACTCTAGTATTTGCTAGAAAAAAGAAGAAAATTTTAATTTCTGAGGTTTTGGTGGAAATTTACACTCTTTTTTTCCTATCTAAAATGACAGTAGCAGTAGTTCAGGATACTATTCAAGTAAAAGTAAAAAGGACAGTGCAGTAAAACTACTTCTATACCCTTTCCCCCTGCAAAAACGTTACTCAAGCAAATGTAATCAGTATTGCCCCTGAAAAGACAACAAAGTTAGTAGCTTATTTTTGACACATAGTCATCAATTGGCCAAAATTATCAGCACCCAACAGCTTACTCGGTATATTTGAAAAAAACAAAAACTGTGCAAAGATCTTTGCCATTTGCTCATTTTCTGCCATGATTCTAACACACACTGGCATGCAGATTGACACAGCAGCAGCATGTCTCCGTTGCCGTCCCACAGGAACGATGTGCAGTCGTGTTGTGTTTAAAGGTGGCTCGGAAAACATGTTTAAAATGGGAGTGCAGGAGACAGATACAGGAAGTGCGGGAGCTCCTGCTGTATCAAATTGAGACAGGACTAATAGAAAGTGGGCTACTCTGAGATAAAAAAGAAATCTTAATGCTCATTACGAGGACCACGATGAACTCAAGATTATTTAGTACACATCACATATTTTAGAAACACAACAGTGGGACCAAATTTGCCAGAGTGAACCAGCAGTACAGCACCAGGGTTTGGTTCAATGTCCACTATCTAGTATATACGTGTCTTTGCTTTGTGACAGTGTGAAAGAGTAAGAGCAGCCACCTTCACAACCACAGATCCTTCAACTTTGTCCATCTCCCCCAGGAGGGCAGAGAGCAGAGAGGACTTTCCTGAGCCAACGTGTCCCACCACTGCTACCAACGAGCCTTCTGGGATGCACACATTCAACCTGAACACAAACACATATGCACAACCACAGATTCATCTTCTCAGTTCACTTTTAATCAGGAAATTCTCAGGCTCATTTGTACATTAATTAAATAATAAAGCTTGTAGATTTCCACATACTCAGGGTAAATGGGACCTACCTCTTGAGTGTTGGTGATTCAGCTCTGGACCACCTGAAGATTCCATCTACTATAGAGATGCTGTGTGGGGCTGGAAAAGAATATCTACATAAATGAAGTAACTTAATAATAAATAAGAGCCCTTTGCTTCAAGATTGGGTTGGAGACATATTGCTTTCTTTTTTTTTTTTAAATCAAATTTTCTTCTACAACTTGAACTTTTGGAGTGAGCTATATTACAGAACCCACCAAGGGACATGGGAAATATATGTATATTTTTTGCATTATCTCACAAAAGTATCACGTTCCCTTGCAATACATTTGCATCCTCTCGCAATAAGCAAATATACCCCGGTCAATTTTGTATACAGTGAAAACTTCAGATATCTCACAAACGAGATATTAACGTACATGGAAAAACCTTACGAAAATCTTATGTTATAGCAGAAATATGGTGGCCACTGTAAGAAAGACTTTCAGTATTCAAGTATGCTCAATCAACTGTTCAGTGCATTATTGTGAGAGAATGCAAACCTTTTGTGAGATAACGCGAAAATCTCCCATGTCCCCCATGGGGCTCCGTACTATATAATAGTATAATAGTAGTAATATGTCAAACTGTTTCTTAAGACTTTATTTACAGAATTTTCAGTTAATCCTTTTACAAGACTAAGATCGAAAGCATATCTTTCATTTTCATTTAGAAGTTTAACATATTGAATTAACTGCAATCCACAACTGAGGTCCAAAATTATTGACAATTAATTAATTGTCAATAATTATTGACAGTTAATTAATTATTAACTGTCAGCTTGGTGTGTATTCCTAATAGTATAGATCTGTAAAATCTTAAAGGTTTGTATTTTCTTCCATCACTGCTATTAGACAATACATTTGGGGAGACTTACAGCCAGCCATTGTTTTCTGCTCCACACTGTCTTCTTGCAGCTCCTCATGTGACAAAAATACTCTAAGCCTCTTCAGAGACACACTGACCTGAAAACAGACCAAATGAAGAAAGACTACAGTCAAGATTGATCAAGTTTTACAACATTCATGCAAGCTTGAGGTAAGAATTGAACCAGTCTTTCTTGTTATAACAGTTACATCACTGTGCAACAATGTTCTCATAGAAGGGGTTGCACCATTTAATATATATATATTTTTTTTTAAGTTTTTTTTGGCTCTAGTGGCCTTAATTTGAGAGTGTAAACACTCTCAAATTAATTAAATGGGTAATGAAAGAGAGGGAAGATGTGCTGGGGCCCAACCCTGTGACGTCCACAATGAGCACTAAGGCCTGTGCTTTACCCCATACCAACCCTGTCCTCAGCCTTTTAAAGTTGAGGACAATATAATAAAAGTCGAGTCGACCAGTGGCTGTCATGTCATAGAAACGCACACAAAAAAAGGCTGTATTAATTATACTGGCAACAAAAAAGACAAAAGACAGCTTGGAAAGAGATCTATAATGCAGAATAAAAATAACAAAACATCATCCCAGATTTCTTCAGTAGCAGCTGAGCAGTGATCTTCTGTCACTGTGTTCTTGAAAGTTGCACAAAGTCAAGACTAACCTTTTTTTCTTCTAAACTAGATAGTGTAACAATCAGTGTAATGATCATGCTCATCTTGGATAGCAGTGTTTACTTATAAGTCAAATGAAAGTAAACTTTATCACCTTTTGATTCCAGTTAAATTCAGTGCACCCTATGCTTGCAACTGGACAATAGTGCTGAGTCATTCATGATCAATTTGTTCAAATGAACAAATCATTTGAGAGAACAAACTGAAGCAAACCAAATAACTCACCCTGAACTACCATGATAAATATAATGTATGTAACAATCAATCAAGCTGCTCCTGTCCAATAAAAGCGTGTCATTAATGAAGGGGAAAAAAACTCAATCCAGACTTTAAGTAATATTGTTATGTTGTGCTATGGACTGAAAACACATACTGGTTTAAACACAGGGGTAAATAATTGGTAGTGTGGTTTAATATAATCTTCTGATGATAAATCATTATGTTTTGCTTTTTTCAGTTCAAAGATGGCACGGAAAGAAAGACGTCAGAAACAAAAAAGAAAGGATCTGCCAGAATCAACCAAAGGTAGTGGATTGTTGACCAACTGGGTCAGAACGAGCACCACAGGTAAGAAAAAAAAAAAGAAGGTTCTTACCATGATCAACATGCAGTTTTTGGTAGTGAACAATATATTTAATATGACAATGCAGTTGTTATGTTAAGATGTAAGATGTACTAAATCTAGTTGTATATCTCACAAGCTGTAATTTATCATTGTTTATTAAACTCTGAAAGCTGTGTGACTTTAATATTCTGTCCTAGAACGTGGTTAGACGTGCCCTTTTTTTTTGAGCACCTGCCCCTTTAGTGGTCTCTGCACGGCCCTGATGAAAACAAAAAATAAAAGTGGTAAATAATAAATCAAGGGGAAATGAGAAACTAAGCCTAATAAGTACAGTACTTTTTATTTTAGATTTTATATGTTATGTCTCCTTTTCTCAAATTCAAAAATACTTTATTAATACCAAAGGGAATTAATACCAGCTCTGTTTAGAACATTTTAATCAGACTGTAATTTGTTTGTCTAGAATGTCTGATTTGTTTGGGGAGTGTGATGCAAATTTGAATTCCAAAACTGATTAAAAAAGTGAACTCTGATCCGCTTAAAAAACTCGGCCACGGTCCGGGTGAAATGAACTCTGAAACGGTTGGAAAGCAGTGAGAATGCAACTGAACTGGAGACTGCTCCAAAAGCAGGAAGCTATCTACAGTGAAGGGCATTCTGAGCGCATTGGCCTCAGAATGCCCTGCACTGTATATTAGTCAATATATCCCCTAGTGAAAAAAAAAACCCAAACTTAAGTATATTTCAAACATACTTACATTTGTGTAAGTACATTTTAAGTATACTAAGTATTAAGTGTAATACATATAAATATATACGAAGTGTACCAACAGTATGCTTGTACCAATTTTGACGTGACTTTAAACACACTTAAATATAATTGTACCACAATACACTTTTAAGAAATATATTAAATAAAAGTATACTTTAAGTCAACAACATATGTATGTGCTCAATGTACCAATGAAACAATATGCTTTTAAAGATTTTTTTGTGTATATTTTAAAGCATATCCTCAAAACAGAATTTTGTCAAATTCACTTAAAGTAAACTATTCATTTTTGTGCGTCAGGATGCCTGCTTGTGTCCCTCAACAATAACATTTAATTTACAATAACAATTTAGCAAAATAAATAAGTCTGAATGCCCTCAGTTTAATAATGACTGAACACATTCTCAGTGCCTCTGCCGCAGTGTTGTTAAAGCACCGGGCCCATGGTAAGGAGGAGTGTAGAGCTATCAAAATATGGGCAAAAAAATTATTTTTTTTCAACATAGACTTGTTTGTGAATAAAAAAGTAGGTCTGATGTTGAAGTTAGAAAAATTGCTTTGTAGTTGTCCTCAAGACGGTGGGGAGAAAATACCCTTCTCATTTCCAAACACAGAAATAGTTCGGCTGCAGAGAAAACTTCTGACTTTAATTTTATCAGGCTGCCCCAGTGCTGGACTAAATCCCACCGCTGTGCTCAGACATCCTGATATAAAGAAACAGTACAGCAACTGTCACTATGGCGCACTTCAAAGTCCCAGTACCTGCTCACCAGCAATTCTCTGCTTCACCTCAACATTACTACCAGACGAGTTCGCCCCGCTGCTGATGGAATCTGGGCTGGAAGTGAGCTGCTGTGAGTAGAAGTTACTGCACAACCTCAAATGCTCAAGGAAGATTCAGGCGATTGCATTTGGAGCTCACAATATATCACATAAACATCAGCAAAAATACTGTGCCAATTATCAGTCCCTGCTACTGCCTCATAAATAAAATCCCCCTATTGGTCTCTCACATCCAGCAGAGAGATGCGCATCGCAGGGGCTAGCTCTTCATGCAGGATTGGCCCAAAGCAATATGGGGCTTTAAGCAGAATCCGATTTAGGGCCCCCTTACTACTAAGAACATAAGCATCACTAACAGTGTTTAAAAATAGATTTAATGAGGCTGTGAGAGGGTGTCCACATCAATTGGCAATCAATCACTGATTATTGGCTATATTTGCTGTGATATATCTGTGAACAAACTGAGCTCAAACACAAATATTACAAATAGCCATGTAACAACAATCAATCTATCAAGATGGTTCTGTGAACTTTTATTAAGTAAACTTCCTAATTAAATCCTAAATGCATAATTTAATTTAGGTGCCCCTCTTGATGCTAAGAACATCAACAGCATTAACTGCATTCAACCAGGGCTGGCCCAAGCCATTGGCCTCAAGCAATATTTGCTTTTGGGATACTCTGTTTCTGCTCATAATGTGACTTGCTGAAGAGATCATTAGATCATTCGCACACCTGCTAGATTTATTGCATCTCTGACAGATGCAATGAGTTTGCTGGATACAATCAATATGC